GGCAGCTCAGCCCGCGCTGCCGTCCGGGGTCGCCCCGGCGGGCAGCAAGGAAATCAAACCCCCCGTTTCACATTACAAAAAGGAACCCCACAGCCACGTTTTTCCATGATTAAAATGAAACACCAGAAATATTTGTGTGTGTGTGTGTGTGTACGTGTGTGTACATCTCTATGTATGTGTGTATATGTGTGTGTGTGTACATCTCGATGTATGTATGTGTGTATATGTATATGTGTGTACACATGTATAGAAGTGTGTGTGTGTGTATATGTATATAAGCGTGTGTGTGTATGTATACACGTTTGTATATGTAAGTGTACGAATATGTATGTGTATGTAAGTATGTGCGTATATATATGTGTGTGTATGTATGTAAGTGTGTGTGTGAGTGTGTATTTTTTATTTCTTTCATTTGTATCCGAGGCCAAAACTAATTCCACGTTGGCAAGTCCAGAACCAGAAGTGGCAAACGTCCTCCACCCGCACCTGGGGCGTCAGATGTGTCCAGTTTATCTATTTATTTTTAAAGAAGTGTTTTGTGTTTCAAGCCAGATCAGCCAAATCAAATCCAAACCGGTGAGTCGGTCCAGAACCGTAAGTATCCCTACAACTGGCAAACGTCCTCCACCCGCACCTGGGGCTTCAGCTGTTTCCAAAACTATTGGCGGGCATCCTGCGTGCAGGCCTGGAGGCGTGGGGTTCGGATGCCCCCGAGTTTTGCTTGCCCTCGGCCATAAGGCTCTCCGAGCAAGCGGGGGAGGAGACTCCCGTTTCCATAAACTGGGCTTAAAGCCGCTGCACCTCGGCGAGCACCGAACCAGCCGGGAGAGCCGTCCTCCTGCCAGGCAGTTCAGGAAAACTGCCTTCATGGACGCAGATACATGGTAGTTCCCCTGCCAGGTTAAGAAGCCACTACACTTGATCTGAGCCTTCAAGAGGCAGAGAAGATATAGATGCGTAGTTTGTTAGGAGCTGGAAGGGACCTCAGAAGATCATGGTGTCCAGCCCCCTGCACCAAGCAGGAAAGACAGCGGGGGTCAGGTGCCCCCAGCAAGGTGCCCGTTCAGTCTCCTCTTGAAGATTTCCAGGGTAGGTGATTGCTCCACCTCTGAAGGGAGCTTATTGCACAGTCTGGACACCCTAGCTGTGAAGGAGATTTTCCTAATGCTGAGCTTGAATTGATCGTCCAGGACTTTGTGGCCATTGCTCCTGGTTTTCCCCACGGATGCCCTGGTGAAGAGTTGTTCACTGAGCTCTTGATGTACACCCCGATGTAGCAGCGAGCTGCTACCAGGTCCCCTCTCAGCCTTCTCTTCTGTAGGCTGAAGAGTCCCAGATCCCTCAGCCTTTCCTCGTATGACTTGCGGTGTCAGGCTCTGATCATACGGGTGGCTCTTCTCTGGACTCTCTCAAGCTTGTCCATTGGCGACACATAGGGAGTGCACCCGGGTGCACATGCACCCCCTAAGATTGGCACTGCGCCCCCTGAGAGCAGCGCCGCTGACGCTGCCGGTGATGCTTGCAGGCAGTCACCACTTGCCACCTCCCCCAGCCTCCGTCATTTATGAGCTTGTCCTCATCCTTGTTAAAGCACAGTGCCCACAACTGGACGCAGTACTCCAGCTGCGGTCTCGCCAGTGCTGAGTAGAGCGGGAGAACCACCTCCTTGGTTTTGCTGGAGATGCATCGACTGATGCACGTCAGAGTATTATTTGCCCTACTGGCTACAGCATCGCACTGCCGGCTCATATTCAGACTGTGGTCTATTATTACCCCCAGGTCCCTTTCATACACAGTGGTGTTTCATTTTGATTAGGAAAAGATATGGATTTGGGGTTAGTCTTCTTAATCCAAAACTTGGGGATTTTTTTTATTAGAGAAACCAGGATTCCTGGTGATGGGCGACCTGTCCAGCAGCCTCTTCCTCCTGCCAGCGTCTTCCCCTTAAAGCCCTTTCTGCCAGCAGCTGATAACATAAATCCAGAAGTGATTCAGGCTGAGTTCGCTGTTGGGAACTGTACTATTATAGCTCAGCGGTTCTCAACCTTTTTTCTACCAGGACCCATTTGTAAACATCGATGGCCAGTCCCGACCCAGTGCCCCCCACTCCCGACCCGCTGCCCCCAGTGTGTGAGGCAGGGGGCCCCAAGAAGTCTCTTGCAGGCTGGACCTCTGCCAGCCTGTAACGGAAAAGCCACAGTTTCCACATTTTTCTCCTTTAAAGGAGAATAATTTTTTTAAGTTTGTTCACAGCCTTTTCATATATTCTTGCCACCCACTTTTGGGTTGCAACCCACAGGTTGAGAAACACTGTTATAGCAGACACTGGGCCAGCCGTGGGGAAACCTGGAGTCCGCCAGGCATTGGGAGTGGTGTAGGTCTGGTTGACCAACTTGTGGTGGACTCAAGTGCCACCAGTGGTACCACTGCCTCTGTGTGTGGCGCGCAGCAGACTGGGGAGGAGACAGGCAACAGGGGGGCAGATAGGGCAGGGGACACAGGACATGGAGTAGAAAGCAAAGCAGCAGATCAAGTAAGGGGAAGGGATCAGACTGGCACTGGGGGAGGGCACGGGGCTAATTTGTGGCACAAAAAGGTTGGTTCCCACTGGCATAAATGAATCAGCATGGGCTGATATGAGACCTTAGTTAAAATGTGCACCAAAGGCTGTGGGGACACTGCTGTTTTGCATTGTATCCACCCATTGCAGGGGTTTCTAAATACGATTAGGCGCAGGTTGTAGCTAAGCTGTAATAAGTGAGGCTTAAATAGAGACAAGTGTCTCTACAAGGCTGGGCTGGTCCTCTGGTATAACTTTAAGCACTGGGATACTCCACTATATCAGATAAGGGCATAACCCTCTTAACTGCATAACCCAGTGCCAGTCCCAACGTGTTACCTAATCCTTGTGTCGTAACAAATATTAGTCATTTGGGGATGTTAAGTGCATAGCATCTTTCAAACTAACTGCGTGATGTAAAATGATTAGGAATTGCCAGTTTCAAGGCTGATGTTAGAGCAGGGGTGGGCAAAATGCAGCCCGGATGCAGCCCGCCCGGCCATTCTATCCAGCCCCTAAAAATTTAGAAAATTAATATTAATCTGCCCTGGGCTGACTGTCGTGCGGCCCTCGATGGCTTGCCGAAACTCAGTCAGCAGCCCTCCACCTGAAATAATTGCCCACCCCTGTGTTAGAAAGAGAAAAACCTTTACCAAAATAAGGCAAGAAACTTTATTTAATCAGCACCAGAAAAAGCTTAGCCCGGCTGTTCCTGTAGTTAGTAAGCTGTGTTTACACAGAGTTAGAGTAAGCGCTTACTCTCAATAACACTGTTTCACTCCTGATACTATGCATTAAAAAAATAAAAGCAACTCAGTGGACAACTACTTGTTTCATATATTTAGAAAAATCATTTCTCCCCAATCTTTTTCCAATCCATCCCCAAGCTGACAGTTTCAGTTTGTTTGAGGTTTAAAATATATGGGCACTCCTAGCAT